CATTTAATTAATACAGTTGTTTAGTTAAATGAATATATTTTAAAGTTATCGCTCGTGACTTATGAGTATACCGGTCGGCGACGTTATCGCGGATGTTACTTGACTCGGTTTTCGCGACGCGCGTAACGTATCGTTACGTTTAGATTTCAAGACAAGACTCTGCGCTCGGCATTTAGGCGGTCGCTTATATTGAGTTTGATGATGTCGCTTTTGGTCTTTGATCGGACCATATATGGTAATATTCGTCGCGCTAGAGGCGCGATCGCGTGATTAAAGAATGTGCAATCTTGCACTTCCGCTGTTGGTTGCCATGCCGAGTGCATTTAGGTATTTCGCGCGCTATGATCTTAGATCGACGCTTTGTCGCGCGCGGTTTAAAGAATGTGCAGACTTGCATTTCCGCTGCCGGTTGCTATGCCGGTTGAAATGAAATAATTAATAAAATAAGTGATAGCCATTCGGGCTATAACAGTAATAATTGAGAACTTCTATAACTACCTTTATTCAATAAATATCATTCATTTAAAGCAAAGAGAAATTCTCTTATTTTCATATACATTGCTCTTTCCAATAAATCGATAAGAAGTATGCAATAATCGTTTCTCATTACTCGTGTCTTTAATTGAGGTATTGGAATATATCGTTTTATTTTATTGTAGAAGAAATGAATGAGCGTAAACCTTTTTTACAATTGTCTGAGAGACAGAAACGTAGACGACTCGCAGCCATAGCACATGCTGATAATGCCGCTTGTTTTTCTGAAGCTGATGTAATAAATCATGACATTGATGAAAGCCGCAGTATCGAAGACGAGTTAGTCGCGGAAGAATCTGAGAATGAGAGTATTAGAGAAACATTTGAAAGTTGTTCTTCACAAGAAAGTTGTTCTTCACAAGAAAGAATGGACGAAATAGAAGCTGACGATATTAATATTGATATAGAGGATAATGTTATTGATATTGTTGAGAAAGAAAATTTTACTGAAAAACTGTGCAAGTGGGCACTTTTATTTGGAATAAGCCATACGGCTTTATCAGCTTTGCTAATAATATTAAGAATTTATTTACCTATGGAACAATTACCGACGAATGCACGCACTTTACTGTGCACTCCTCGAAAGACTTTAATACGAAAGGTTACACCAGGAAATTATTTTCATTATGGTTTATTAAAAGGCATTATAGATGAATTGAGAAGCCATGTGGATCATTCGGAAATTCTCGATAAAATTTATATAGACATTGGAATTGATGGATTACCTATAGCGAAAAGTTCAAGAAGCCAGTTATGGCCTATTCTTGGGAAAATCAGTAATACTGTTAGTAAATGGAATCCATTTATTATAGGTAATTTATTTTTTTTTTTAAATGCATCGGAGGATAGAGCGAAAATCACAAAAAGGTTTTCGATTGTTTAGCAATAGTGCAAATAGTTTTTGTTGTTTCTTATTACAAATCCCAATAATTTAAGGAAAGCATTTTTCCGTGAAATAATATTTTCCGATGCTCCAACACTAAAATTATTCCTCTTAGTATATGATTTGCGCTTGAAATGAGTTCCCATTGAATCTAAAAAGATAATTTGTAGTTTACGAATGTGGAAACTTCTTCGACAAAAATGTGACGGCAAAAAGTACTTTAAAATTTGTCATGATAAATAGGAAAGAAAAGTTTAATAGTATTGCCTCAAAAATAATCGTATTCTTCGGACTTTCATTAATTTACACATTTAATATAAAAACAGTAATTTCGAAAATTTTATTTTATTTTTTGTTAATATGTTTGAGAATTATAAATTCTTGAAGGTTTGTTAATATCAATACTTTATTCGTTAATATCATTTCTTATTAACAATTAACTTACTCTTGTGTTATAAAATTTTGAATATTATTTGAAAGCATATATAGATCTCTCCTAAAGTATTTATAACATATTTCATAATAATTTATTAAGTATATGCGTATATAAAATATAAAGCTTATGATAGATAATTTTTCCACATTCTCTCGTTAATCAATTGGAGATCTTTCTCGTTTTTTTTGCTTTAATATACTATCTATTGAAATAAATGCGGTATGCATGCATAATTCTTACAGGTGTTTATCACGGGAATGCAAAACCTTCTTCAGTTAGCGAATATTTGAAGAATTTCATTACTGAAAGTAAAAAACTGATAGAAGAAGGATTTCAATATGTAGAAAAACATTCCAAGGTTGTAATAAATGCTGTTATATGCGATACTCCAGCTCGATCGTATGTAAAATGTGTGAAAAGTCATAATGCACATTTTGGGTGTGGGTTATGCATCCAAGAAAGCGAATATTTACATAATCGAGTTCTTTTTACGGATCTAGACAGTTCGGAACGAACTGATGACAATTTCCACCGGAGATCCTACGAAGAACATCATATTGGAAACTCTCCATTTGAATTGATTAATTTGAAAATGGTGACGCAATTTCCATTAGACTACATGCATTTATGTTGTTTAGGGGTAATGAAAAAATTGCTCGTATTGTGGTTGCGTGGAAGACGAGATTGCAGACTAACAGCTGCGAAAATCAAACAATTATCAGACTTTTTAATAATTTTGTCAACATGGATACCAAAAGAATTTCAAAGAAAATGCAGAAATTTGGGAGAGTTAGATCGCTGGAAAGCAACGGAATTCCGACTGTTTTTGTTGTATATTGGACCAGTAGCATTAAGAACAATTTTACCATTGGATTATTATATTCATTTTAACGTGTTTAATTGCGCTATGAGAATTCTGTGCCATCCTGCAAACTGTATTTGCAATAATCAATACGCGCAAGATCTCTTAAAATATTTTGTTTATGAATTTAAAACGCTTTACGGGGAAAAGAATTTGACCTACAATGTTCACAATTTAATTCACCTTTCTAATGATGTTCTGATATATGGTTCTCTAGATAAATTTAGTGCATTTCCGTTTGAAAATTTTATGCAAAAACTAAAAAAACTTATAAGAAAATCTCAAGCTCCATTGCAACAAATTCATTGTAGAATTTCCGAGAATAAAGAGATTGTATATCTATCCCAAGAGAATAATATTCACTTTCCGTATATGGCAAATCCACTTCCTGAACAAGAATTGCAATTCTTTTGTACGAGACCACATTCTAAGTTATTATTGTCGAACTGCACTTTCAATCTTTGTAACAGCGATAATTGTGGTTTCTTAGAAGATGGAAGTATTATAGTCATGCAACATTTTGCATACAAAAATAATGAACCTGTTGTCATAGGTCAATATTTCCGTCATAAGGTTTCACTGGCACTTTACTCATGTGAATCTGCAAATTTAAACATTTATCTTGTGAAGGACCTTTCAGAGGTGCGCATGTGGCCCATTAAATATATCAAAGACAAGGGATTTCGCATTCCTGTTGACGACGAATTCGTCGTAATGCCTTTACTTCATTGCAATCATGACCAATAATATGAAGTATGCTTTAATACATATTATAAATTGAATCATAAATTTATAATTCACTGTCACAGTTGGAACACTTTATGGAAGACACAGTGTTACACTGTGCCATTTGTGTACGTTGAAAACGCTCATAAACTTGCCTGATCATGTGTGTATATGGCACGTTTTAATTATCACATAACTATCTATATTTTAGATGTACGTAGTACTTTTTTTTGACGACTCTACCGCTGCTGTGCCGACTTCATGGGTACAGAAAGAAAAACAACTGTGTTGGTGGCCACCAAAACATATCAATTTATCAAAAGCAATTGCTAAATGTACACCATACCAAAACAACTGGGCTTCACATTCTTTTCACAAATTATGGGGACCATATGGTAAATAGATTTCAATATATTGTTAGAAAAAGTTATTTCTTCAACAGTTTCCACTTCCGAGTAAACATGGAAAAGGTCACGATAGATATAATGTGATTCGATACATCGATGAATAGTTTTCATGGAATTAGGTCTGATGTGATCATTGAAAAATGATATAATGAGAAATGTAGAACATTCGATATTGAAAGATAAGAGTTTTAATTTCAATTGAAGTCAACGTGCCTGTTAACCATTATTTTTTTCTATTTATGTTCGATTGTCATTTTTCAATAATTTATTAGGGTTTTTACAATAGTGAAAAAGTATCAGAGTAAAATCTGGATTTTTACAACCATTTGGATTGAAATTCATTAATGCACATCGCGCATTATTAGAAATATAAATAATATAGTTAGATGTATATTATGTAACTCGAAAAACTTTAATTGCCAATGATATCTGTGGTCAACAAAATATAGTAACTACACTCTTCACTGAGAAATTTAATGTTTGATTTCATCAATAAAAGTCGAGAAGCTGTATTTTTATCGATCAATTTATTAATCTATTAAACAATTTATAAAAGGCAACAATTTATAAAATAAATCGATTATTCGTTAAAGATAAAAATTGATATAATTATGTGTAATAAACGTATATTTTTCGTATATTTACCGTTGTTAATATTTTATACTTTTGTTATATAATGTAGAAACATATGCTATTGCGAAACAAGCGGAGAGAGATTCCATAGAGTGGTCGACAGCAAATGAAAGCATTATTAGTACACCACAACACCTAGGAAAAAGGGTAATCACAAAGTCTCGCAAAGTTCTTTCAAATGAAAGTAACAACGAAGAAAGTAGCGATAAAGAAAATAGTGACTCAGGTATTCTATATATATAAAATTTCATAACATATTTAATTCTCAATTTATAACTACAAATAAGCCATAATTGCTATAATATTTCTTTTGTCTTATTCAAGTAAATATTTTTTAAATCAAACTTTTTTCTGAGTACACATATATCTGTATGTTTACAACATCAATCAAATTGTTATATACAGAAAAATTTATTATAATTTTTTTATTGTATAATATTAATATAATTGGTAATTATGTAATTAGTTAATAAAGTGAACTTATTTTTTAAATTAACTATGAAATATTTATATTTTTCAGATAAGCGCAAAAAAAAACTGAAAACTCTACCTCCGTCAGACTATGATAATACAAACAAGAAAACATCTGAACAATTAGGTAAAATATTAATTTATTCTCCACTTTGCCTTCATGTAAAACTTTTTACGTGCATATATATGTTGCATTATAAGTCATAACAAAATAAAATTATAAACAAATACAAGTAGTTGTATTAGAAGGGTATTAAACCATAATGCTGGTGTAAGTAGTAAAATTATTACAATTTAATAAATGATAATTTTAGACGTTTCAACCGATCGTTAAGTTATATGCAATTGTTCACATATTTTATTGTAAATTAACTGCTACATAGCGTTAAATTTGTATACTGAAGATGGCTTATATATAATTAAGGCCGAAACGTCTAAAATTATCGTTTATTAAATTGTAATAATTTCGCTACTTATATCAGGATTATGATTCAATGCCCTCCCAATAATATTTGTTCATAACAAAATGTTTTCAATCATTGTTTTAATATTACTCTATTATACATTTATTATTGTACACAATATAAATAAATCTAGGACCGCGACATGAGTATATCATAAATTTAGAAAGAATGGCCAACGACGGTCAAGGCTAGATCTTAGTGTCGAAATAATATTCCTATTTGTGATTTTATTAACTGTTGAATGTGGTTATCTTGTACAATGTTTATATCATTTTTATATCATTTCAATTGACTTATCTTCTAAATTTTGTTTATTCCCATGGAAATCCATCCCAGACAGCACACAATATTTATAAATTATTTACAAAATATTTATTAATATTTGTAAGATTTATTTTTAATATTTTATAAATATTTTATGATCTTAGATTGCACAAATTATAAATATTTATTGTAAATGTTATACTTGTAGTAAATGCTATGAACATACTTAATGAGACATTATAATCCAAGTAAAAAATACTTATTAGAAATTGTTCGATGTGTTGTATGAATCGCTGTTTCGATCTCGACTGAGATCTCGAATGACGGAATGGATTGGTGGACTGGAAGGTTGAGACCACTGAGCACTCCTCTTTTAACTTGTTGTATGCAAGCTTTATTCACAAGTAAACGAAGTGTTGTTCGCGTGGCACGGCGAGACAGACGATTAACTGCTGTTAATACGCTGAGACTCATACACGACGGTAGCCGTGATGAGACGTACAAAAGTAACGAGTCGCGGTAGCGAACCCGTAGAAAGAAAGCTACTGCTTTCTGCGAGGAATTTGAGAACACGACTTGACACGGCAAGTACTGATTTGTGTTAATTGAGAGCACGACTTGACACGGCAAGTACTGATTTGTGTCTGAGGGGAGAATCGCGCTGCGCGATTAGCGCGACGAATCGGCAGGACGACAGCGACATCGGTATCCAAATATGCGGCTAAATTGTAGTAATGATATTCGCAAGACGGCGCGGTGAGTGCGACGAAAGATTCACGGACAGAATCGATGGATGGCGCAATCGATCCTTTATTCGGCTTTTGTAGCGCGAAACTTATCCTATTCCGGAACAGAAATATTTATTTATATTTATCATAAAAATGCTACATTAAATTTTTAAAAGACCGTTAATGTAACAACATAACTATTAATACGAATCGAAGCCTATAACAGTCTAAGCTGGATCTTAGTTGCTTTATATATATATATACAGGGTGGGGCAATAACTCTGTCCACCTTGAATATCTCCGCTATTTTTAGAGATATGAAAATATTGTTATTACAAAAGTTGTAGGGCATCAAGAGAACTATAACATGTGCTAGTCATAATTGTTTTAGGTGGAGGCGCTTCGGAGATTTCAAGGTCAACTTTATGTTTTTAAATAGAATTATATGAATTTTTTTTACTATATGATTTCTCTAATTATTCTGTACATAAAAGTATTAAGGTAGAGATATAAAAAAACCAATAGTTTACGAGATATTTTACATATTCTTTTGGTGCATATTGACATAAAATGTTTAATAACTCGTGAACTATTGACTTTTTGATAATCGTACCTTAATGCTTTTGTGAACAGTATAATGAGATAAATCAAATGGTGTAAAGAAAACACATAGTTGCTTTAAAAAAAATATGTATACAAAATGGATAATTTTTTAAATACGCAACTATGTGTTTTCTTTACACCATTTGATTTATCTCATTATTCTGTTCACAAAAGTATTAAGGTACGATAATAAAAAAGTCAACAGTTTACGAGTTATTTAACATTTTGTGTCAATATGCATCAAAAGAATATGTAAAATATCTCGTAAACTATTGGTTATTTTCTTATATCTCTACCTTAACACTTTTATGTACAAAATAATTAGAGGAATCATATAGTGAAAAAAATTCATATAATTCCATTTAAAAAAATGAAGTTGACCTTGAAATCTTCGAAGCGCCTCCACCTAAAAAAATTATGACTAGCACATGTTATAGTTCTCTTGATGCCCTACAACTTTTGTAATAACAATATTTTCATATCTCTAAAAATAGCGGAGATATTCAAGGTGGACAGAGTTATTGCCCCACCCTGTATATATTGTCGCAGTTTAGGAAGACATATATCAGTATATAAATTTACGCGAAATATATGTATATATATATATATATATATA